CACAGGTAAAAAGAGGAACCCTGGCTGTGGGTGTTTACTAGCAGGGCAGTAGCCATGTCTTCCTCATTTGTCCTTACCCCAGAGCTCCATCCTGGGAAGGACACATTAGGCTCCATGGATGTTTTAGCAAACACATCCCTGGGATGAGCTCTAGGTCACCCCTGGGCTGGAATCTAGTGCAGGTGTGGAAAGGTGTTCTTCTCAGCCTGGCCAGCCTGTTGAGCCCCACTCTCTTCCTGGAGCCTGCCCAGCTTCTGAGTCAGGGTCCCTGGAGATGAGGGCGAGCTCCTGAGGACAGTGAGACGCCCCTACCCCTGTGCTCCTGCTGCTGTGATCTAGTCTATACAGGGTGTGCAGGGCCACGCTCTTCCACTGGGTGCAAGCGCCTCCCTGCTGGAATCCCTCTGGACCTGATGTTGTCCTCACTGTCGTATCCCCAGCCCCACACAGTGTCTGGCCCTTGTGCAGATGCCCAGGAAGTAACCGTAAATGTGTGGTAGGATCACAGCAGCAAACGATTCTGCAAAAAACACCAGTATAGGGGAGTCAGGTCTTCCTCATGTCTGGATCTCTGGAGCTGTCCCATCTAGTGTGCTTCTGTCATATACATGTCTCTTTATAGTTAAATGAACTTCAATATATACAATGAAATATTCAAAACCTCCTCACAACAGCCACCATGCAATGGCCCAGCAGCCGTACAGGAGAGAGCATTTCCATCCCCACAGCATGCTGTCTTGCATGTCTGCCGTGAGCCTGGCCCAGGGTCTGATTGTTGGACTCATCTCACTGAAAGCGTGCACATCAAAGTTGGGATCTCAGGGTTGTGGGATTGGAGGTGACACATATAATGGACCAGTGGAAGGAAAAATGGAAAGGTGATTCCTTCAGCTCCTCTTTCTCACTTGAAGGCTGGAAAGTGTGAGCAATGCCTTGTTGAAGACCTCTGGCTCCACAGAGCCTAGAGAGAGCCTGAGAACACTGAGGAAATCTCAGGGTGATCTCATGTAATCAGTGTGACCTCACCTGGAGTAGGAGGGTGGGTGAGTCACTCTCTGAAATAACTTCTTGCTGAGATTTGTATCTCTAAAGATTGGCCAGTGGACGCCATCCATGAGGGAAGCTGCAATAGGACAATTTGTGCAGGTAGAAAATGATACCCTAGGCCGGGCGCAGTGGCTCACACCTGTAATCCCAACACTTTGGGAGGCTGAGGTGGGCGGATCACGAGATCAAGAGATCAAGACCATCCTGGCCAACATAGTGAAATGCCATCTCTACTAAAAATATAAAAATTAGCTGGGCGTGGTGGTGTGCACCTGTAGTCTCAGCTACTCAGGAGGCTGAGGCAGGAGAATTGCTTGACACCAGGAGGCGGATGTTGCAGTGAGCTGAGATCCCGCCACTGCCCTCCAGCCTCGTGCCTGGTGACAGAGCAAGACTCTGTCTCAAACAAACAAACAAACAAAAATGATACCCTAGGAGTATTTCTGGGAGCAGTTGGGTTAAACCTGTTGCTTTGGAACCTAGGAAGGGGGGTATGAAGCCAGAACCAAAAAAAAAAAAAAAAAGCTGTAGAGGACTGACTTGTTCCTGCTGTATTTTAATAAGATAGAGATGAGAGGATGTGTGTCCATGGACTTTGTGGGCTGTGTTTGTAACCATCGTTTCTTGCTCTGGTATTTAATGATGACTTTTCTCAGGAGACCAGTTTTTCCTGCCTGTGTCACAGCAAACATCTAAGCCTTGCGTTTTGATTGGTTAACATCTCTTGGGATTTGGGAATGCGAGAGTATGATTAGGCATTGGCATTGTCTAAGATGAAAGATAGCTGGTGAGACTCCCTCACGGTACTATTTGAACATAGTTGTTTCTCTGAGACGGTCTCAGAATCTTCAGTCCCACACTCCATATGCCACATGCAGCAAAGCTCCCTGAGTTACTCACAGTCTCCAGCCACCAGGGCACTGACTTTTACTCTGTCTCCCTCCAGCTCCTCCTGAGGATTCCAGGAACACCATCTCTGAGGATGATGACGAGGTAAGAACCCCTTTTTTTGTCCTCTAAAGAATGCCCTGTCAGGTGGGGATCGGGCAGGGAGAGCATCAGGATAAATAGCTAATGGATGCGGGGCTTAAACCTAGGTGATGGGTTGATACATGCAGCAAAGCACCATAGCACATGTTTACCTGTGTAATAAACCTGCACAGTCCTGCACATGCATCCTGGAACTTAAACTTCAAAAGAAAACAAAATTAAAAAAGAATTGTTTGTATCCTGATTCCGTTCCTTCTGTTAATTGTGATAATCTGAGAAGGCACATCATGTAAGACATGTCCAATTCTCTTTGTGGGGGTGGAATTCAGTGGGAGTGTCTTCCCATCGGATTCGTGATATATTAGAATGTTTTTAAATGACAGCATCCATTATCAACTGTAAGGCAGAGGAATTTTCCTCAACACCAGTTTTCCTCTTTGGTTGAGGCACTGTGTGTTTGCCAATGTTAACCAACTGCATAGATAAATTCTGTGGGAAAAGGTCTTCTCTTTTCCACAGGTGTCCTCTATACTAGCATGTTTGATTCTTGGCCTTTGACTCAACCATTGTCTTACAACTATTTTTCTGAAGTCATCAAGAGACTAACAGATCTGGGAATGGGCTAAGGGGTGCAGAAGAATTAGTCTGATCCTCATAGTGTCTTCTTTTGTCTAGTTGCAGAGTTCATCGCTCCCTGGTTATGGTATGTACCCTGAAGTAGCTCACCTGCTGAGGAACAGACTTGCTGGTTTTCATATATAGAAACCTGATTCTGGGCTCTGGTTAAGAATATTGGGGGTCTAGTATTCTAAAGAATATTGGAGAGCAAATAATTTTGCAAGTGTATAACTCTGATCAGAGGGGCTGTATGAATGCATGTGAACCCAGAGGACCAGCCAGGGGATGTGTGAGCCGATGTGGCTTCAGCTGAGGTACAAGTGAGTGCACCTCTCTCTGACTTACTCTGATGTTGGTGGTTCTGAAGAATGTACACTGGAAAATCTCAACAGTGAAGAAGATGCCTTTCCAGGTAGGCAACAAGATTACAGGTGGAAGCTAATAAAGCAGGTTCCCAGGAGCCTTCAGCTTCTGCCTCCTGCCTGGGAGGCTGAGGGAGCATGTAGAAAGAGAAGAAAAAGAAAACATGGACGAGGTTTGTTCTTGTCAGAGTTTAATGTCATAGTGGTGAGAGGTGTGAGCACCCTGCTGTGATCACCTCTTCTTGCTTTATTATTTAAAGATGGTCTTTCTGAGGACACCGCTTTTCTGCCTCTGCCACTGCAAAATGTTAAAGCCTTTGGTTTGGGACACAGTTCTGTCATGGCAGTTACTTAATCCTGGAGACAACAGTTCTTCCATAGTGTGCCCAGATGCTTGGGAGAAACTGATCCTCACCTTCTGAACTGTTAGGTTTCATGGCAGCACATTCATTTGTCTGTTCTTGCTGTTTACTTCAGATATCAAGGGCTCTCTCTGGGCATGGGGGACAGGGTGAAGATTCGCTCTGGGCTCAATGCAGAGCTCCAGTGTCTTGTAAATGGAGGAAGAAGCACAACCTTGAGCACGCTGCTCAATTTCTTTATTCAAATGAGAATATGGAGTTTTACCATTATTTGTTAAAGAGGCCTTCCTTTTCCCATTGTGTATTCTCGGCACCTTTGTTGAAGATCAGTTGACTGTGTATGCATGCATTGAATTTTGGGCTCTCTATTCCGTATCTCCAATCTTTACAGGTGCCCCCATGCTAGGGCCCTGCTGTCTGAATTTCTGTATCTTTTCCTCTCGTAGATTTCAGGCTCATGAATGTGTATCTTCCAACGCTGTTCTTTTTCAACATTATTATGATTATTTGAGACATATAAGAATTCATCAGAACTTTTGGGTTATCTTTTCCATTTCTGCACAGATGGCTGTTCCCAGTTTGATAGTAGTTGCTGTGCGTCTTTGGATCATTTTGTACTATTGTGTATTAGTCAGGTTTTGTCTTCCTGCCTGTGAATATGGGATGCCTTTTCATTTATTTGTACCCTCTCTACTTCCTTTCAGTCACATTCTGTTCTTACCAGCTTACTAGTATTTCATTTGACTGGTTGGATTTATTTCTAAGTATCTAACGATTTCAGAGGTTATCCATGGAATTACATTTGTAATCTTACTATTGGATTGTTTATATTGAGTGCATATTAACACAACTGCCGTTTGAGTGTTAACCTCGTACTCTGCAATTTTGATGAATTTGTTAGCATGGATAGCATTCCTGTAGACTATCTCCGATTTTCCATATGCAGAATGTTAAAGAAGCTCTCAGCTTCATACCTCTCTTCTCAAGTATATTGTTACTCTGAAGGTCTGTCCATATTCACCTACGGAATGGTGTCCTTCTAATTGGCATAGTAAGGTTGTTCAAGAAATACTTTGCCTACTTATTCCATAATTTATAGTTTTAATTCTTTGTTCATGCTATTGTATTTATTATTTTTTCATAGAGTAAAATGCAGCATTTCTGATTAGATTCTGCATACCTAACTTCCCTCTTCGTGTTGACTGGAAGAATATAGGAACGTCTCTTGTGCTTCTGTCTTTCCACCATCAATTATCTTTTAAACTCTAGACTTCAGAATCTGAAGTGAATCTGGAATTGTGGAAATGTGAAAGAAAATGCACAGGAAAGAAATCTAATGTTGCTATTCCCATGGCTTCCCTCCTTAGTTCACAGTATTTGAGAGCGTGTTCCTTCTACTCGTATCAGAAGTTTTCCCAAATACATACTGATAATATCTGTATCTAGGCCAGGTTACTTACCAAAACATAGTTTTAAACATACTTTTGTGGATTATTCAAAATTCCCTATGTACAGAGATATGAATAATATGCTTTCACCTAACCTATCACCCTCCTTAGAAGGAAGGGATGCACAAATCAGGTCTCCCGTGACACCATCCAGAACACTTTCCAAGGCCAAGCTACGGTCATGTCCATAACTTGGCAGCAGCCTCAGTTGGAGCCACTTTTCATTTAAGAGAAAGAAATCATACAGGATATGATATCACATGCTTAGAACCTTCCATTATGGTAGATAATTCTCCTCCCCGAGTAAACTGGTGTTTATTCCATTTGGCCAGGTATCTGTTGATCTTTCATCAGGTCACTGGCCCATTTTGTAGACAACATGCACTTAAATTGTTTCTTTTTTTCAGAAGTAGCTACTGTGTGGAATCAGGATGTCACCAAAAGCATTTTTGACACTGGTATCTCATTCTTTCGTCCCAAGGTTAGAGATAAGTTGAAATGACTATTTTTGGACAGAGCAGTTGTGCGTTATGGCATCGCCCCTGACTTGGGAGCTTATCTCTTGGGTTTGCATGCAGCTCTGGAACATGTTAAGCTTTGAGATATCAAGCAAGTCAGTTGTTTTTTAATTTACCATTCTGAAGATCCACAATACACAGTTTATTTTAATACACCCGTTCAATGCTCACTACAGACCTCGCCTAAACAGTGATTGTTTACTATCCACAAACTCCTTGAATGGAGAAACCGAAGGGCTAACGAATGTGCCCATGCTTCTAAGCCCCTAAAGGAAGGAGGCAAGATATGAACCTAGGGATATAGCTCTAAAGCTGAATTAATAATGAATTGTTGAACTGCAGTTATTACCCTGAGGAGGATGGCTCTCAACCCTGCCATCACGGGTAGCCATAGGTTGGTTCCCTCACACATGCTAGTCCTAGATTTACATGAGTCTACGGAGATCCCAAACACTGTCTATGATTCCAAGATGGCTGCAGCAGTCACGGGCTTAGGGCAGACAACAGTGAATGTAATTGCAGGGTACGGCACAGCCTTTGGTGTGAATAATACAGAGCTGCCCCAGATGCCTCTGACAACAGGGCCAAATGCAAGCTCTGAATATTAGGAAGAACTACTTAGAAATATTGAGAAACTCCTTTCAGTGCTGGGGACATTCCTCAGCGGTTGGCCCCAAACAAATAAGATGGAGATATTTTTTGAGATAGTTGAAAACTCTTATCACGACAAGACCTAGAAATGATCAAATCCTGCAAACTACATTCATTAGACACAATGACAAGACAGCAAAAAAGCATCGGGTTACCAGTTCACCACACTCACTGCAGCTCTGCACTGCAGAGTTAACACACACCAGCATCCAGCCCATGTCTCCCTTCCTGAAATACACTATGCTCAATGCACTGGCGAGTACAAAGATAGGATCCTCCCTAGGCAATTACTACACATGCATGACAAAGGAAAGGTGGACTGAAGAAGGAACTCTCGTGTGATTAACACCAGCTGTTTTATAGAATATAATTCCAATATTTCCCATTCTTCCATCATCGACTGTAACAAAAGTTTAGTACATAACTACAATAGACTGTTTTGCCTAGAATTGAATCCGTCTGTCTGTTCGACTTAGCTTTTATTCAAGGTTTGAAAGGTCTGAAAAACAGAACTGCAGTGACATCCATTTATGTGACAGCCATTTCCCTTTATGTGAATCCATAAATGGAAAAATATTCTTGGGACGTAAATCATGTAAATAAATGTTGTTGTTATTTCTGTTTGACACAATAAATCCCTAGTGTCCTCTTCTAAAGAATGAACCCCACCATGATTACACATTGCAAACCAAAAAGTTACCTAAAACCAGTCTCAATCTAATTTAGAAGTTTAATTTGCCAGGGTTAAGGACATGCTGGTGACACAGCCCCAGGAGGTCCTGAATACGTATGTCCAAGGTGATCTGGCTACAGTTTGGTGTTTACATGTTTTAGGGAGACAAAAGACATCAATTAATACATGCAAGATGTAAATTTCTTCCGTTTAGAAAGACAGGACCACAGGAAGTGGGAGAAGGTCGGGGCTCCAGGTCATAAGAAGGATTTCAAGATTTTCTGATTGTCAATTGTTTGAAAGAGTTTTAAAACCTGGAATCAATAGAAGAAAGTGTCTGGGTTCAGATAAGGGGCTGGTTAGACCCAGGTTTTCATTATGCATCTTTAAAACTGATGTTAAATCTGGCAGCAGCATGATTGGGTCCTAGAGTACTGACATAGTCTTGAATATGCTGTTTGTTTAAAAGAGCTTCAAAACGTGTGAGAGGCAGAAGGTTCCATTGACCCTTAGTGTGCATTTGAGTTTCCATTTTTGGTTGACTCTTGTGTTGCTGCATGATGCCTCCAGTATGAGGCGGAGACCTCCATGTCTCCTCTCCTTCCTGCTGCCCTCCCTGGCCAACCCTCTTCCACCCAGGGGAATGGCCCAGCAGCAACTCATTTCGTGCTTGATAATCACCCACCTCCATACCCCACATCCAGCAAAGCTCCGTGAGTAACTCACAGCCACCAATCACCAGGGTGCTGAGCTTTCCTCTGTGTCCTTCCAGTATCTTCGAACGACCAGGCGGGCACAGTCGGACTCAGATCCTGGAAGGAGGAAGAAGACCGGGAGGAGCAAAGCCTCTATGTAAGACTCCTTTTCTTTGTCTTCTAAAGAAATTTTGCTTTTGTGATTTCTTCTCAATTAATTTTGATACGAAAATCTGAAAATGTACACTATGTACAGTGTATGCAATTCTTTTTGTGGGGGTGAAGTTCAGTGGGAGTGTCTTCCCAACTACCATGCAATACACTGGGAGGTTTTCAAATGGCAGCCTCCATTATGGGCTGTGATGCAGAGGCACTGTCCTCAACATGTTTTCCTCCTTGCATTCAACATTGTGTGTTTGCCCATTAAATCCACTTTAAAGGTGAATTCTGTGAATAAAGATCTTATCTTTCCATAAGCATCCTCATGGTTTTCGGGCTGTTGACCATTGGCTCAGCCACTGTACCGCTTCTGGTTTTCTACCCTTGCCAAGAGAATAACAGCTCTATGTGAAGGGCACTGCAGGATCTCATCCTCATAATATTTTCTTTTGTTTAATTGCAGAAACTATCCCAGGAGAGGGTGAGAAGTAAGTACCGTGAAGTAACTCACTTCATGAGGGACCAGCTTGCTGCTTGAGTGTATAGAATCCTGATTCTGGGATCCCGCTAGGAAGGAGGATTGGGGTCTCCTGAGAGAAAGTGATGTGGCCAATATAGAACTCCAGCCAGAGAGGCTGTAGGAAGGTTTGTCTATGCAGAGCAAAGACCAGGGAATGATGTGTGAGGCAGCGTGGCTTCAGCTGGAGGAAGAGGCATGGGTGAGTCACTCTTTCTAATGACTTGTCCTGATGTTTTTGTTTCTAAAGGCTGGATTCTGGGGAGCGTCTTCAGGCTCACTGAAGACAACCCCCAAGGTAGGGAACTACTTTCCAGGTAGGACCTGATGGGAAAAGGTTCCTGAGAGCCTTCACGTTATCCCCGCTGCTTGAGGGGCTGAAGAAGGGAGTATGAAATCAGAAAGAAAATGAAAATGTGTGTGAGGTTTGGTTTGTTCTTTTCAAAGTTTGTTGTCATAAAGGTAGAAGCTGTCTCTCTGGGCTGTGAGGGTGCTGTGTTTGTTAGAGACGATCTTTGCAGTACACCCTCTCTTTTCTGCCCAGGGAAATATCAAAACCTTTAGTTTGGATTAATCAGCACTCCTTGGGATCATGCACAAGGGATGTAGGACTGGGCATTGAGTGTCATCTGTACTGGAAGGAAGGAATCTGTGGGAACATCTCTCTCACAGGCATTGACTTGAACTTAGAGAAAAAGTGCATGTGCCAAGGGGAAATTGATAATCACCCTTTAAACCTTTAAGATTTGTTATAGCACATTTAGGTTTCTGTCCTCTCTGTGGGTTTGAAGGGGTCTCCCAGGGGTGGATGGCAGAGTGAATGTTCGCTCTGGGCTCACTGGTACATCTCCAGTCTCCTGGGAAGGCGGGAGAAGTCTGACCTTGATCATATTTGTAGCCTCCACTTCCCACCCCTACGAAGGATTCTGAGATGAGGCTTCTTTCTCTCCAGTTCTCTAATTTTTGGGGAAACCAAGAGTTCCTTCCCACAGAAGATGGCATTACACTATTTCCTGTCTTCAAAAATTAGACTTCTGTTGTTCTCTAAGTTGATATTTATAGGTTAAGTTCTGGACCTTTTATTCAAAGATTGCTAAAAGTTGTGCAGGAAACTCCTATGATAAAATGTGCTGATAGCACATAATTCTGTCCATGGTACGGATGACATTTTTATCTTTGGAGGATCCTCATTTTACATAATAAGATACAAAACTAAGTGGGCACCCTCTATCCAGTCTGGGGCACTTCATTAAAGACCTGAGTTTGCTGCTGTCTGTCATTTGCTTTTCTTTATGACACTTTTGAACCACCTAAATATTGCCAGCACCCTCTTTTGGGACCCTGACATCTGAGAGGGTGAGATGGCACAGGTGCAGACATCCCCGTTCCTCCCTGAAATTTCCCTCCTCCTTTAACCTTCTCCCTTAATGGACCTGCTGTGACTGCTAATGACTTGTTTAGACCTCTCCAGGTCTGGACTATTATACATAGAATAAGTCAATATGTGTTTCTCGGTGTCTGGCTTTTTCGCTCCCATCATGATTTGAAATTCATTCATGTTCGTAAGTGTAACTGTAGTTCTTCCATTTCCTTGCTGCATACCATTCCACCGTAGTCACCTGTTACAGTTTATCCACTCTACTGTTGATTGACATCGAATTTTCTTTTTCTGTTTTAAATATTGATGGCTGTGAGACGTAATGTTGCTTTGATTATTTTTGTCAATGGTTTTGGAATACTACTGGCACTCATTTCTGTGAAGTAGATTGTTAGAAGGGAACATATCTTTTATTGTCATGAATAGTGCCAAGTCTT